AACGAAGATGAAGTAAACATGGAGCTTATACAGATACCATCAGATAGAATTGAAGAAATTGCTGAAACTTCTTGTGCTTCTCACAAATTAAGAAAAAGAGTGAGAAGAAAGCTGAAAGAATCTCCACCATGTAAAATACTAAGGCACGATGCGTTGCCTGAGGAAGTAAGATTCGGATCAATCTTTGAGAACAAACAAAACATGACTAAATTTTTCTGCAGCTTGGAGATAAACCAAAAAGTTGAATTCACTGCTGTTAGATCATGTTCCAAGAGATATGAGCTGAAATGCATCGTGGACAGATGTGGTTGGAATGTACGTGCTACTAGAATAAAACATTCCACACTGTTCAGGGTGATAAAATATCATAACATCCATGAATACTCGGTTGATGCAAGAAAATCAGATCAGAAATATGCTACATAAAATTTTATAAGTGAACAAATTATAGAACATGTTCGAGACAAAAAGATAGAGGTTACACCAGCCTTTGTAGAAAATGAAATGAAAAAGAAATTTGGAATTGACATTGGTTATCACAAGGCATGGCGTGCTATTCAAAAAGCTGTTGCTTGCATAAGGGGAACACCTGAAGAGAACTACCAGATTCTTCCTTCATACCTACACATGATGGTGGCCAAAAACCCAGGAACGTACACAAGCATAAAAAAAAAGATGCTCAAAATAGGTAAGCAAAACAATACTAACCATCAGCCTGAAGTTTCAAATGTTCCTATTCGAAAAAATTCACACCTTTTGATTTGTTTTTTTTGTGTTTCACTGTACAGATTTGCTTACATGTTCTTTGCTCCTGCGGCATCAGTAGCTGGTTGGTCCTACTGTAGACCCGTTATTGTAGTAGATGCAACATTTTTAAAGTCCAAATATCGTGGTGTTCTATTTGTTGCTGTATCAAAGGATGCAAACAATCAAATCTTTCCTCTATGTTTTGGTGTAGCAGAATCAGAAAACAATGAGGCATACATTTGGTTCTTCGGGGAAATGAGAAAAGCAATTCAAGTCCGTCGTGAACTGATTTTCTTATCAGATAGAAACCAATCGATCGCAACTGGGATTAGAAAAGTTTTTCGTGAAGCTCACCATGGTATCTACCTTTATCACTTTGAGGAAAATTTAAAGCAAAGACATGCAAAAGCCACGGTAACAAATCTTTTTCAAAGTGCTGCAAGGTCATACAAACGTGAAGATTTTAATCAGTTAATATCCCAACTCAAAAGTATTGACAAGAAAACATATAATTACATAATGGAAGAGCCTCCCGAGAGATGGGCTCGATCGTGGTTCCCACGGCGACGTTATGATATGCTAACAACAAACATGGTAGAATCAATGAATTCCATTTTACTAAAAGGGAGAGAAATGCCTATTTTAAGAATGTTAGATTTCATCCAAGAAAAGTTGGGAGAGTGGTTTTACAAACGGAGAAAAAAGGCAAATGAAACTTTTCACAGAGTATCAATATGGGCAGAAGAAGAGATGATTAAGAAGATGGACTTGGCTTGCAAAATGTTTGTGAGTATATTTATTAACTTCAGCTTTTTATATCTGTTGCACTGATTTACTGCTTACATTTAAAAAATTTCATA